TGTTTGATTTATATAATTTAGGTGGGCGGGGGGCAGATACAGTCTCTATGGTGTACTGGGAGCGTTGGGTGGGTAGCAGCTGCAATGAGACAGCAGAGAGGCGTGTAAGGCCCTGCATCCTGGACTCAACTCTGGGTTGTCATAATTTAGGTTGCAAAACAAACTCATCCAGATTTCTAGATAAGAGAGCCGCACCACCCAAAGTGGGATGGATGCCATCTCTACTAATCAGACCAGGTTTTCCCCAAAATGTTTTCCAGTTGTCTATGAAGCCCACGTTATTTTCTGAAGGTGTGATTGCACAATTATTAGTTTACAGGCTGGAGAGTATTTCATTTCTATTGTTTTTAAAAAGGGATTTTAGTATTATGTAGAGTAAACCTTGTTCCAGAGGATCTTTCTTGAAAACTATAAGAAATGTATGGGTATGTTGCAGTTTTTTGGTACCAAGGGGCATTGTGTTGAGCTTAAACAGCTGCAAGAAAGAGTAAATCCAGTATATACTGTTTTTTTAGGGGTCAAAATCCAAAGATTTTAATGAACTGATGTAGCTGGAAAATATAGTCTATGCCATCTGCGAGAAGTTGGGAATTGGTTCAGTTATGTAGCAGTATGTTGCAATGGGTGTTTGTGATGTGTGTGTGCTCATTTGTGTGTTTTCTCATGACCTTTCCTTTTGTTGACACACACACACACAGTTCCCAGTGAAGAGACATTCTTCAGCATGGAGAATTTCTTGGTCACTGAACTGCCGCTCTAAGCACTACACACACACACCATCTGCTGACCCCATTTTGTGACCTGATGCCCTTTGACCTTTAAAAGCAGCAGGACTCCATCAGAGTCTGGTAAAAAAAAGATTAGATAAAGCCAGGCATCTCACCCACTGTGTATCACGTGTGTGTGTGTGTGTGTGTGTGCCAAAAGAGAAAGAAAATAATTTTTCTCATAATTCTCAGCTACTTGAAGTCTAGTTTCCTCATATATCGCTACTGTCACTTCCCACACACACATACACACCAGGTCACTCTGAAAGACCTTCCTGTATGCCACTGGAACAAGTACTCCTACGTTCTCAAATGAACAAGAAATGACTCCCTTTTTTCCTTGACGCCAGCAATCTCTGCTTTAACACAGGCATTAAATGTGTTTATTTGATAAATGAAGAGTTACTGCAACATTTATGAGTCCAGATTTAGATAACTGTGCCTCTGCTAAATTTTCCCTTTTTCGGTAAGGAGAAAGAGAGCTGAACTTCAGTAAGTAAGCAAATAAGAGTTTCAAAAGAAAGAAAACAAAGATCAAAATAACACTGACATTGTTGTGAGATAGCCAGTTCAATAGGCTAATCTTACTTAGTGAATCCTAGTTTCCTTGACTGCATCCATGCTCCCTCACTTGCATCTCAATTTGACCCACATAAGAGGTGAGGAAAAGATTTGAGGAGACAATGTAAGGAAAGAGGAATCAAGGAAGTACAGACATGAGAAGTCCTTTTCTCCAATCCATCATCTGAAGCATCCAGTCACCAACTGAGTTCCAGTAAAGGGGCGTGTCTGTCCATAAAAAATGACTGCAAAGGATGCGCTCATGTATTCTTATATATCCTCATGTAGTCATACTCCAGGCTGCTTCCTCACTTCTCAGAACAGGAGAAAGAACTATGGGTCTTCCTTCAAGATGGCTGACCTTAATGACTTCCAGGTCAAGGGAGGATCAAGGAGTGAGGACAAAGAAAGAGATCATGATGCCTGTTTGTGTTTTTTTTTTTTGGTGGTTAAATACAATTCTTTCTCAGCTGCATACCTGAAAGTTGTTAGATGTTAAAGACAGTCTGAAAGTTATGTCAACAGACTGTTGAGAAAAAGTGAGTCAGTTTGCTTACTGGACTTCTTTTGGTGTATATAAAGAAATACAGTTAAACATGGTTGTTCCTAACTTGCTAAAGATGTGGTAGAAGGACAAGAGTTCAACAGAGCAACTGGGTCAAATGCCCACCCCACAGCATCCAAACACAAATACAGCATGTGGGTGATCTTGCTCTGGTGACCACTATGGGAAGGCACTTCAACAACAACAACATGGTAGACATAAACCAGCTGTGTGTGTGTGTGTGTGTGTGTGTGTGTCTGTCTGTTAATGCCTCATTGTGTTATCTGTAGGGAACGGGCGGAAGTTAAGGTCCTGTCAAGGCCACAAACCCAGAGAGTGAGACAGGCAGGAAGAATGGGAAGGGTCTAATAGCATAGCATCTAAGACTGTAGGAAGTGAAACAAAATATGAAATAAATAAAAATGAACAGCCAGCTTAACAGCACAGCAAACCTGAAAGAGGTTTTCTTTGTGCCACTGGGCCTCTTCTCCTTCTGTCTAAATGGCTGAAAAAAGAATTAATGCATGAACAATAGCTGAGGTCAGTTTCTAATTCCTCCTCCTCCCAGTGGGAGGCCCATTACTCCTGTTTTCCTTCCCTACAGTATTTTTTGAGACGAGTTAGGACATTCAAACAAAGATGTGACCTGACCAACAGGACACTTTTCACAGGCGGCTGAAGTGGAAACTATGGCCATAGTAATTTCCTAATGTTATAGTTTGGTCGCCATCTTTCTTTCCTTTTGTCCCTGCAGTCCACTCCTCATTGATCCCTTCTTCATCACTGTATTGTATTTAAGATTAATCATTTTTTAAGTACTCTGACCCATTAAAACATTTAAGATAAGCAACCCAGTTTTTTTTCTTTTGAATGTAACTAAGGCTGATTGATTAATGAATCACATAAACTAGCTTCTAGGTAAATATCTGTTTAAACCAGCATTTAGATTTAAACTACATCAGGACTATTTTCTGGAAGAGTGTGGTTTGTAAGAAAAAAGGACAAGATTTTATTCTCTAAAATAATTAATCATTATTAGTAATGCAATAGATTTATTTTGTGCTTTCAAACCAATCAAATCAGTGTAAAAGTGTTTAGCTATAGTGTGGCTTGAAAATGTCTTAACATTTAGCAAAAACAGTCTTTTTGTTTTGTTTTTAGCCCCTTATGAATAGACTAAGATCAAGTCCCGTGACGTCGCCCGGCATGGCGCAGCCGGGGCCCC